CTCCGATTTATTTATGATAATTTACTTTTGTTTGAACCGCTGTGATTGATCTACATTTTTATACCTACTTGAAGCACAGACCCGATTTTAATACCCAACAACGCCGATAAACAATAAAAATAAAGAGTAAATTGCACTTCCAGTTTTCCAAGCTTTATATTTGGCATCATATCGACCCGCGACGAATGTAGGTGACGTCACGTAATTCTAAGGCAACCGGAAGTTATGGCGATTCAGTAAGTCAGCGAACACGCAGCTGCGAATCCTATTTCTGAGCACGTTTGATCCGTTAATATTCTGTTACCCTTAATATCTATTGGTTAAAATTACCTTCTATATATCATATATAACGTTAACTTTGCATTAGGTTAGGGTATTTTTATTATTATAGGTATATTATTATCGTGCTATATTGTGATACCATCAATAAGTTATCTTTTGTTTTAAATTGCTTTTTTTACTATCATTACACAGCAGGTTTAGCTTAATGATCGATGCAATTTTGTGGATTTTTCTCTAATCTTTTACTTACTTTGTAGAAAGTAGTATTATAAACTTCGTAAAAATGTAAAAATCTCGAACGTGATTTCGTTCAAGTGAGAATGTGGCGTTAAAAAATATGTGATTGCGGACATCTCTCACGGCGAAAGGATCGGGCGAAACGAGCATGTACGCATGCTGTTGGATGTAATTTACGAGGCAAGCAGTATTTTTACGGCTGGCTTACGAGTACTCTCTATGTTGCTTGGATTCATCTTCCTGATTGCATCTGGAATAAATCATTTTTATATCGAGTAGCGTTATGTCCGAAAGGTCACCAACTGCGCCTTCTCTAGTCTCACAATTCCCACATATCAAAGAAAGCGTTAATATCTGTAATTGACAATATCGAACGGTTATTTTCGCAAGAAACTTTTTATAAATCTATTGAGAATGCAATCTTATATAAGTATACCTGATTAGGTGTTACTCAATTCCTATACTTGTCATTTTTAAAACAATACTCACTTGCAAAAGTATGGGCAACTGTATCGATATAACGATTCATATTTTTTTATTGGAGAGTATTTATATATAGAAATTCTAAGCTTTCTTTACTGAGAACTACGTAAATAATATAAATTATTCTATTTTTCTCTCATCTCTCTTTATCTCCTTATTACAAAAATGTTTATTACTGAAGGTGTGTTCCAGTATACACTGGTAGTACTGAAAATCTACAGTATACGTTACGTGAACTATAGATTTTCAGTACTGATAGTGCATATCAGAACACGACCTGAGTATCTAAATAATTTTGGCTAAAAAGCAAGAAGGTCTGTACTTCAATGCAAGAAAGAAGAAATAATTATAGAAAAAAATTATATTTTTAATAATTAATAAATTTACGTTATGTTTTTTATTAAACATCGTTTTTTGCTATGCAAGATTTCGCGTTCAATTTTTATTCCTTGTGTCTCTGTTATAAATAAACCTTTTATAATATATATCGAGTTATCATTTGTGCATGCGTGTTGATAACTGCATGGATGATATCTGCGCAGACGTGTCTTGAAAAATTTCTTACTCGCGGCCGACGCAGTCCTTGATGGGAGTGAAGGTACGTAGAGAACGGAGACCCGTAATAAATCTTGAGAATACGCTTTCTGCGCGGGCGCAAGTTGCAGTTTGTTGATAACCGCATTGCTTGCCCGGGGTGTACAGCATAAATATTGGACTGGCCGATAATGTTTCGGACGTGCATTTGATGCAAAACACCAAGACGTTACTGCTAAGAAAATTGTTGCCCCAAGCATTTGATCGTTGCACATAATCGATAGATCTAAATTGGAACTGAGCAAAATAAATATTTTATATATACATATGTTATAAAATATGTGTGACATATATATGTATATACATATGTCATACATATTTTAATATCCTTTTTTGTTAAAAACGAAGACGAAAGAATTGTGAAGATATTTGTGCTTCATTATTTTGTTCTATTTGGTTCAGGAAGTATTAATTTTTTAAATATTGCTTAAATTATGTTTATTACTGTGTTTTTTTTTTTTCGTATAAGTGCAAAAGTTACACATATGAATGTTTAAAATGATGATCAAAAACGATTACAAATTTTATAAGTACTTATACTAATAAGTGTCACTATATTTATATCTGACACATTAAACGGACAGGTTATGCAATTGAAATTGTGTAAAGTAATTTCTCGATCCAAAGTTTACGATGGTGTAAATTTTAACTGCGATTATTTGCTTCAAGAGCATTAATAATATACGAAATTACTGATACGCCATAAAACTTACTGGTACTTTTAGTATCAGAAGCATTGAACCTTTTGTGAAGAGGAGCTAATATAAAATATAAGATAAGGTATGTAGGTATTATTCAAAATTATGACATGTGATAGATTGCAAATTTGTCTAAAAAGATCGGCAAGAATACATCTCCGCAATCAAACAATATCACTTGCAACAAATTAAATAGACAATTCTTGGATTTAAGAGAGCATACTTTTTTTGTAAATTGAAATTGTTCCATAATCTTCAGTGTATAATAAATCCTGTAATCTTACGCATAATTCACCGTAATTTTCAAGTACCCTCGTAATCAGTATGCACGCGAATCAAGAGCCTGCCGCAATTAAGTAACTAGACGGGTAATTTACGTCTAAATCATACAAAATTTATGTCTCAAATTAAAGGATAAAAACATATAATGTTGTAGATTTACGATATTTTTCTTTGAAAGTCTATAAACCTAAATCATCCCTTTCTTTAGCCTTGACCTTTTTTGAATTGATTTCGAAATAGTAAACATCGTTAGATTAACTTTGAAATGTCTCAATTGGTATCGTCCTTGCAGTATATAGTAGATAAATATGAATCTTCTGAATTCTCGTAAATACGCGAAGTGAGGACTTTTAAAATAAAGTACGCGATATTGTTTTAATAGCTTTCTAAGTTTGATTTAGTTTAATAGGTACTAGGTCTATCCCGACAGTTAGAGGAGCAACTAATTTAGGTCACTTATAATTGCTTAATATTATGTCACAAAAGAAGTTTGAAAAAGAAAAAAGGGGGCTGGAATGAAGTATTTATTATTTTCAGCGGGAATGGTGATAATTAAACTTATATTCCATTAATTAAACAATGAAAACACAAAAGGTAATAATCGAGCGAAGCTGTGTAATAAATCGTTTCTCTCTTAATAATTGAAAAGTTCATACGTTGTGCAAAACGGTTTGAAAATTTGGTTCATTTTAAACTGAAAACTAAATTCGATGAAGTGTGTATTATATTGGATTATGCGTACGCAGGAGGGGGAGCAAGGTGCATCCCCCCTCAAATTTTATCAAGAAGAAATAATTAAATTATGAAAATCAATATCTGCGTTCATCATATAAAGTAGTTTCGCACATAACTGTTGTAAAATTATTTAATATGATTGATTTATATATTTAGATATTAAAGAACTAAAAAAAGATCACTGATATAATTTCTAGATTCTTTAATATCTTCATTAAAGTAGCGATTTTGACGAGAATTTACTTTGTCATTGTTAGCATTACATTCTTTTATTATGTTGGATATGACATTAGAAGATTTAAAAAAAAAGCACAGTTTTTTCTGATTATTATAATTTGAATAATTTTCACAATGAACTGTACTTTCTTTCGAGGAATAAAAAACGAATTAAGAAAGAGGAATTTATAGAATTACAATATAATTAGCAGAGGTGTTAAATGAAGCTTAAACTTTCTTCTCATCATATCTTGCATATTTCCTTAGTTCAACCTTAGTTAACAATGTTGGAAAATCGCCTCAATGAACTAGCTATGTATACTAATAAATGATACTTGCGAAAAGAAAGAAGCTGGAAGTAGAAAGCTGAAATTCGCTGAAGCCTCCGAAGACTACCTTCAACATAAGTATATTTTAATAAATTTTATGTAAAGATAAATTTTTGCCCTCTCTCCTCTTTCTAGCTGAAATCCTGCGTACGCTCATTGGATTGATTCCAATTCTTACATTGCCGATAATATCTTTAAGTGATTACTCATTAAATACTGTAATCAAGATCTTAAAATTGTAGAATTGCTTTTCAAATTTAACTGAACCCAGCAATTAATCTATTGTAAATAATTAATGAGATATATCGTTATATGTTTATATATTACGAAATAATAAAATAATTGGCAAATACTGACACAAGTAAAAAGTAAGCTCCTACCTTTTACATGACACTTTTGTGAGATGACGTATAGGTATTATATTGCTATTATACTAATCAAATAACTGATAAGGAACGAACAGTTACAAATTTAAAAAGGTCCTTTTGTGAACTAAATTTTTCTGAATTAGGCCAATTGTAGTTATTTCTTGAAAATTTATGTTGCGAAGTAATTACTGTCTAGGATACACTGTTTGCATTTATTTTAATTATCTTTATCATTATAGTACAAATAATATTACTAATGCAACAGTGAATAAAATTATTCTTTTTTTCTTCTTTTTCAGTCATTTATCAAGCAGAACCAATGTCATTCATGACATTCCAGCAGGCAACGACATGTTGTTATGTCCCGCCGATCTTGCACACACCATACAAGGAACAGCTTGATGGAATAAAATCACAGTATTTTATGAATTTGGAGTACCCATCCCCAAATTTTCCAGTTTGGTCCTCTAATTTCTTATCAATGACAACAACAAATACGTCTCTTGAAACACTTAAATCTCCTTCTGAACTATCTGTTGATTCTTTTATTGATTCTTCTGCTGGGCCTTCTACTGATTCTTTTACCGAACCTTTTCCTGATACTCCTACTGACCTTTCTACTAAATCTTCTACATACTGTTGGTAAGTCTATTTTTATCTTATTTTTCGGACTTTTTTTTGATAAAAAATTTATTATATAGACATAATCAGTTATATTGATTTAAATATTGAATATTTGGATATTTGGACTGAGAAATCCTCTTATTATTTGTCTCTTATTATTAGTATGCAAGGCGCCTCATGAAATCGAATTTGCTATAAACATTAAGTGTGGAAAAAGATTAGTTTTTGGTTTTTAGAACATAAATTGCGGTCTCCATTATTCTGGGTACTCTTCCTTTGTTTGGATCGCGAGAGATATCGAGAGAGAGAGAGAGAGAGAGAGAGAGAAAGAGAGAGGGAATCGTAATCACAAATTCGGTGCATATAAAACAAATTTCTAAGCTATAAAATTTCTTTCCTTCCGAGAGTTAAGCAAACTGCGGCATTAGATCGGCAAAGGGCTGCTCATCTGTCCGTTGCTCCACCTCTTTTACTTCTTTCTTTAACACATAACATTTTTTATTTCCCTTAAATTCTTGACTTTTAGCATCTGTAATTATCAAAAGCAATTATTTTTTATTCGTCGTGCTAATATAATCGTTGCATAATACTGTCAAAGATCAAATTCATTGATCTGTTAAAAATCGTAATTAGTATCATTAGCAACTGAAAGATTATGAAAGGCATTGAGGTCGCCAAATCGTATTAACTTACATCTTTAGAATAAATTATATAGTGACTTTTATATTACATTTTTTTCAAAAAAATCTTTATTAATATTAAATTTGCGAATATCTTCAAAGCAACTCAAACTTCAAACCGCTCAAGAAATACATAAACCGTGCGGGAATTCAAAGTCACCGATGCGTCGATCGTGCCTCTTTTCCAGCTGCAGCTTAAACCGTGGCGAGTGGCAGTATAAAGAATCAAATTTACGAGTGTTGATCAGTTTTCTTCATCCTATGCTTGTCCATGACGATACTCGGTTATCGTCTTTACTGGGCAATTTGAAGAAAACAACTTTTGCTATATGTGAGAAAGCAGGACTCAAATCCGACGCCAGTCGATTTGACTATCTGAGATTACGCGTTGCCTTAAAGATAAGCTACGGTATTTACATTTAATTCGTTCTCGTATATTTGCTGGCGTCTCAAGGAGATTGCGGCAAGTCTTGATTAATTGCTGATACATTCTAGGAATTCTCGTATTTCGCGTAGTTTGCATATTTAGATAAACTTCGAATGAATGCATGTGTGTGTACATATATTTATTAAATAATTAATCACAAAATTTATGCATCTAAGAAACGAATTTCAAATTGAAAAACGTGAGTTTCCGTACATTTGAATTATTACTTTTTATTACATAAATCTGTAGAATTACATTAAATCTTTTTTACCTTTACATTTACTAAATAAAAAAATTATAAAAATATTATTTTAGACTTTATTTTTTAGACTTTATTTTACTTTAAAAATGATATATTATTTTTAAATTTTTATTACTTTCTTATAAAATTCACTGAAAAGAAACAATCTTGTGTTATTTATAAACAATAGTGATGTTTTATTTAAAAAAGAGTTAAAAATTCTCAGTTGTACACGATTTTTTCACATCAGCAGTCTTCGATACATCTGTAAAAAATATATATACAATGATATAAAAGGAAAGAAGAATAAATTTAATCAAAAGGCGTTCTTCGAACTAACAATAAGATACGTCACAACAGGATGTATTCTTTTCTTCTTTTAACTTTACAAAGAGTTGACAAAGAAAGTGGCGTGCTAATACAGTCACGAAATAACAAACGGTATAACACGAAAATACAAGGAAGTGAGATGGTGACCATTATAAAGTTGAAAAGGAATCATAAAATATTGTCATACAAGATAATGTCATTAAAATCTTAATATTGACATTCTTCTGTTTAGATTAATGTTAGGGATTAGTATTTATTTATGTTTATAATGGTTTTTCGAATAGTCTAGTCACTTTTGGCTAGATACTTTAATATGCGAATAACTTCTATTTGTTTTAGATATATTTAAACCAATATCAATAATTCTTATACACAGAAAAATATCATTCTATTTCTAAGAAAAATAATTAGTCAATTTACTTTCTTCTTTTTAAGTTACGATTATCTTAAATATTTTCTTAATAATAATTATTGATAATAATTATAATCTTGATAATGAGTACAAATTTTATAATAGTACAAATTTTAGAAAATCATTATTATGTACTCAAAACAAGAATTTATTTTTTTGTGAAAAATATTATAAAATTAATCGAATAAGCTTTATATAACAAGCAAATTGAATTTATCTTAATTTAATAATGATGATAATCAGATTGAAGTAAACTTGTGATTAAAAAATGAATTAAACTTACTAAGACTCAAAATATGTTTTGATGCTTTTGATAAATTTATTTATGATAGATTTGCAGATATATGAATTTTTGAAATATTTGAAACAAGCAATTATTACTTGCGTATGTATTTTTCTGTGTATGGTACTATACATGTACTATACATGTGTATGTTCATATATGTCTAAATTGAGAAAAAATGAAGATACTTCTTCGTAATATAATATATAGTTATATTTGTGCAGATATATTTGCTCAAACCGCAGTATCTTCGTTTTTGCCATGATGCATGTTTCATCATGCTATTCATATATGCGAACATCTCAATCTTCTGGTAGCGGTTATATTTAAGCATTCATGCTATCGGTAAAAATCATTGATGTATCAGTTCGTGTCTGAAAAATTTTTGTGCCGCAATAACCAGTTGCTCTTATCATATGAATTATTTAACAGTAATACGATAGAGTATATATAGAACAGAGAGGAGTGGGAATTCCAGATTTATCGGATGCATGCGATCCGTCGTTAAAGTCAAGGGCGCATCAACATTACGGCGTAATGATGATCGTAAAAGAACCTAAAAATGTACGGCTCGCTAAACAGCACAAGGCGATACTCGCGATATGAAAATTGAAGCGGTAATTAAAATGTCGGCAAGGTTTGTCGGCTATCTCGGATACTAATTGCTTCCAATTTGTGATTAGGGCTGTTGAAAATGAGTCGGTTTCTTCATGATCGCTCGCTGACTCTGCACTGGCCTGAACAGTGGAATCCGATGACCAATCGTGCATTCTTTGCTTATTATTATTATTATTATTATTAGGCGTTAGGAACTCGAAAGCTCATTGCCGCAAATACCAAATCCCGCCACTGTTCCCGTCCCTGAGCCAGATCCCTCCATTTGTGACCCTCGTACCCCATTTCGTTAAGGTCCATTCTAATATTTTCTTCCCATCTACGTCTTGGTCTACCCAATGGTCTCTTCCCATCCGGTTTACCAATTAGTACTTTATATGCAATTCGATTCTCATCCATACGCGCCGCGTGACCTGCCCATCTTAATCGACCCGATTTTTTGCTTATGACGCATTCTTTGCTTATGTTTATATAATGTAAATGCACTTGCGCGCGCACACACACATACACACACACACACACACACACACACACACACCACATATACATATATCTCTTTTTTTTATGCGATAAGCAATGCGAGAGACCCGGATTTCTATTGGTTTTCTATGATTTGTTCTTCTTGATTGTTATTGCCTATATATTTTTGAAAATTTTTGAAAATTTTTGCAACACAAATTATAGCGCAGATATATGCGCAGATGTCATATTTCGATGTTTTCTTCTTGTATATAAGAAAATATAATCACGCAATATATTTGTGTGATAGACGATTTCTCTTGATGTTTTTACTTTATACTAGATTGTAGCGTGAATCGATTCGGCGAAGTATTCTCGGTAACCTTTGCGTGCGTAGGACTCATTAGAGCAATTATATACGTTAATATTCGTTTCTCGACTCGTCGGCGCAAAAAATCGATCGTCGCAGATTTAATGTCACATGTACGACAAAGCGAAGATTCGTGATCACTTCTAATAGTTGCAGCAAGTGTTCGGGGAATCGTTGAAAGAATTAGTCTCGCTTTTGTAGTAAGCAGCATCAATGTAATCAGACAGGTTGCTCAGAGTGGCCTTAACGACGGTCGTAAACGCGGTTCTCTTTACAGCTCGATGGATATTTTTTTTTTTACGGTGCTTCTCCTTCTACCTTGTCATCATCGTCGCTGCTTTCTTATTCTCCTTAAAGCCCCTTCTACGTTTCCCATTGCCGCAAAGCCGTAAGTGAGGCGCACTCTTCTGCTTATTTTGCTCCGGGTGCAGTAAACTACCAAAGTTTATGTGACAGATGTTAGAGTGAAATCGAAATAGCGGAATGTCAATAATCTAACTAAAATTCTTACAAATCTATTTTTAGTAAGTCATTAATTATAATTGCAGGATAAAATCACAATATTATTTTCAATTAATTGCTTTGGTTAACCAAACCTTAGGCTAATTAATTGTATTGCGTGTTTTTGATAACTTACATAATCACATTGTTGCTCGTATTAAATTTTTTATTTCTTTATTTTTATATAACTTTTATTCAAATTATATATAGTGATGTCTCATTTCTTTAAAATATCGTTTTTTTTTTTAGATATTTTGTGTATCGAATAAATAAAATTTATATACACTTATAATATATATTATTAAATTTACTATTTTTATATGACATTTTTATGTAACATGTACATGTTACTATATACTCTTTTGCATAAGATAATCGGATTTAATATGGATATGTACTCAAAATTCCTTATTCCCTATTTGTAGATAATCATATAACTGATTAAAAAAATAGCAATAATAGCTAGTGCAGATTATCTGTTTGACTGGGATTGCATCAATTCAATTTGTTTATTCTGTTATCATCAGTAAAATAAAACACAGAATGTCGTTATTGTGATGTAATAATAATTGTTTCCTAAAATTACTAAAAGGTAGTTATTAATTTTAATAGTTCATGTTAATGTAGATAATATTGTAATAATTAATTTTACAATATTATAGTATTTACAATATTTAGTTTATATTTTTGTCACAACGTT